AGATTAGTTATCCTGGTATTATTATTTATCCATTGTTTATGAGGGTGTTTGGTTAAGCTTATAAGTTGGTCAAACTGCCTTATAAACACTCTTTGGCTTATCTACGCGTTTGGTAAAGTTAAAAGTGCTTATAAGTTAAGTGCTTATAAGCCGAAAATAAGCCAAAAGCCATAAGTTGGTCTCCCCCAACTTATCAAATTTCAGCTTATAAGCACTTTAAGTTTGACCAAAATATTAACTATTCTATCCCTAAAATACTTCTTTTTAAAACAAAACTCTTCGTATATCCAGTTCTTCAGCTGCATATTATTAATTTCAGCATTTTTATCCAAACACGTAACTGCTTATTTTTTAAATCAGCTTCAGCACTTAAAAGTGCTTTTCAGCACATAATGCTTATCAGCTACTCTAAATCAGCTAAGCCAAACGGGCTCTATATGTTGTATTAAAAATGACAATTGCCTAATTTCTAAGATAAAGGTATAAGTTATCCCGGCACTAATTGTCCCACCCCCTACAAGGTAAGTTATCCCGGTACTGATTTTACTCTCGTGATAACTTATACCAGGTTTGTTAACCAAACAAAGTATTAAGGTGGTATTAAATTTGTATACATACATTATATCTACTTATACCTCATACCAAACGAACTTCTATTTTTCTTTTTGGAGAGAGGACTGTTATGCAGATTTACAGGACCAGTATAACTTTCACCATAGATATAAAAAGCTACTAAATTTCTCAGCGTTATGTCTTGCGATTCATCATCTTTCTACTCTTATGTTTTACTACTTTTGTTTGTAGATATGTCTTTTCAATTCCTTCTGTTTTCTTTATTTGTTCATCAGAGTATAATCCAAAAACATGCGTGTATGTGACAATTTGAGTTGACAAGAACCTGACTTGTGCCTCGTACAATATTTTTTATGACACGTTCATGGTTATTAATATTATACTACTAATAGATAACACAAACTTATAAATATTAAATTTCTCAGATTCCTCCACTTATAAATATCGAAATTTATGCCACCAATAAATTACCTCACAAGTTACAGATCCACATCCTTTTTCTCTCTTTTTTCCTTATCTTTTTTCCTGGAGGTCAAGCATTAGGGTTGTAGGTGAGGGGTAGTAGAGCTATCCTCACTTCATACCCGAGGTGAGGCGGGATTGGATTAGGGTTGATCTTAGATGGCTTGCAGTTTATATTGAGTCCACACTATCGTTGCTGTTTATCTTAGCGTCGGGCCTTAGATATTGGTTATTGTTATTGCATGTCATTTATCTTTTGGTTGTTATGCTTCTGTTACTATTACGGTTTCTACTGGAGTTACTAATGAATTGTCTTTTCTTGTTTTTTATTTCCGTCTTTCTGAGTCGAGGGTCTATCAGAAACAACCTCTCTACCCTATCGGGGTAGCTAGGGGTAAGGTCTGCGTACACATTACCCTCCCCAGACCTCACTTTGTGAGATTTTATTGGATAGTTGTTGTCGTTGTCGTTGTTGTTGTTGTTGTTGTTGTTCCTAGTCATTAAAAGTAATCCTCCTTGTTTTACACTATGCCATAGAATCTTGATTGGTTTGAAATTGTTGACATGTTTGATTTTGAAATTTTTGGTAAGTTTGATTTAGAACTTTGAAGATTCTTCAATTGTAGTTTATCAAGTGTTGCTCTGTGTACTGTAACACTGAATTTCGTTAGATTACGATATGTAATATCAGATTTTTTTTGTTTTTTCACTTAACTTGAGGTTACTTTCAAAACCCAGCTTCTCAAGATTCTGATTCCTCAAACTACAAATATAATTCTCCTCAGTGGTGGAGAAGTGGGACCGTGGGGGGTTTGTTTCTTCCTCATACCAAACAACGTTTATTTAGATATTTTGTTAACCTTTTCCCTTTTTGCTGTCAATGACGGAATCAACAAAATTCATTTATGAATTGATATAACATCTTATTTCAGAGTTATATGTGCAAAAGATAAATATATAAAGTTAGATGGGTATATATTTCCGATTCATTATCTCAACTCACAAACCCCAAATTCTAGCTCTATCACAAAAACTGAAATATTTAACCATGAATATGATATTAGGAGACTTACGGATTTCCTCTTGTGAAAGTAAAGTTGCAACAATGACGGTTTGAGTTATCGATCGGTAAAAATTATCACAAAACGAAAAAATTCTTCCCTTGATATAGAAAATTTAATCTAGCTGTCGTTTGTTTCGCATAAAATATTAGGAAAATATATTTTTTCTATGCTCATAATAATATATTTATGGATTATAAGTAGAATTTAGTAGGAGGACAAACTAATGAAAAAATGACATTGTATAGCCGCTATAAAATAATAGCTGAAAAAATGGATAAATTTTGTATATTTTTTGTATATATGCAATTATGTATGTTATATACAAAAATTATACAAATTTTATACACTTTTTCGGCTACCGCCTACCAGATGTAAATAGTTTTTGGCGCAGGCTAAAAATGATAATACCCCCAAACTAATAGGCGAATTCGGGAGAAATTCGAAAATAGCCAGATTTACAAGTGATCATTCAAAAATAGCCACAGTTTCAAAATTAGTCGAAATTTAGCCACTTTTCATGTAAAGATAAATCTTAACAAAAACACTGTTCAAAATCCGATAAATACTCCAGTATATTATGCTAGAACTTTCCGCGTGTTGGAGTTCCAGCATAATATGCTGGAAGTTCGTACACAGGTTCATCGATCTCCAGTATATTATGCTGGAACTAGGGGTGTTCATTGTTCGGTTTGGATCGGTTTTTCCAAAAAAGAAACCAAACCAAGTAAGTTGGTTTTTCTAATATTAGAACCAAACCAAACCATTTAAGTAGGTTTTTTCTCGATTCGGTTTATGTCAGTTTTTGTCGGTTTTTCGATTTTTTCGGTTATTTGTCGATTTTTTCTTAAATATAAGACATACACTACCAAACACATATTCTGGCGACCACATTTTCAACGTAACACTATCAAACCAATTGGCCTTTGAGAAATCTATTATTTACCAAGATATATTGATGATAATTGAATCAAATAGTGATGAATAATTTAAGGACTCAATAAAAAATATATTATTTTTAATACGAAACGGATTCTTACACGTAACAAAAGAAAACTACCAATCAAACTAGAATGTAAAGGTAAAGAACTATACTAAAAGTGCAAACTATTAACATTTACCATTAAATTTTTGAAACTATGTAGAAAAATATGCATATATATAGGTGTAATAATAAATTTGAAATAGCTACTCCTATAATCGGGTTGGTTCGATTTTTTTCCGATTTTTTTCTGATTAAAACCAAAATTAAACCAAATCTGATCGGTTTTTAAAATTCAAAACCAAAACCAAACCAAACCAAACCAAAAAGTATCGGGTTTTTTGGTCGATTTGGTTTGTTTTCGGTTTGGTTCGGCTTTTCAGATTTTTATGAACACCCCTAGCTGAAATTTTTTGTGTTCTAGCAAAATAATAACTATTTATCAATGACTTTGCAAATGCTGATTATTTTTTATTAACCAGTCCGAAACTGGCTAGCCCGTGCTATTTTTACGGCTAATTCGCGCCGACTATAAACGGACCCCACCCAATAGCTTTTTTCAACACAAAATATCATGAATGCGAATTTCGGTCACCAATAAGTACAGAAAACTACGTGATAGAAGTGAAAAGACGTCTGTCATCCAATGACAACAATAACAATACACGTAGAATCTTTTTAAAGCAGTGTATTTATGTCATTTTGGCCATTCCCCATTTTCATTTCATTTTCAGTACTCCTATAATCTTCAATCAGCAGATAACACTTCGATAACTTTTCAAAATACTTAAAGGCTAAAAGCACCAAAGCCAGCCAAAGCAATTGCTGCTTTGTTTTGCTTTACTCTCTTCCTTCTTTCTTTTCTTGCCTACCAATAATTTTTGAAGGTTCCCTTTTTTTCTTTCTTCTTCTACTCCCTCTCTTCATCATTCAATTCTGTCAATATTCATTTAGCTAGGCTTTTATTCTTCTTTCTTTTTCTCACTTTTCCTTCTTCTGCTTATGGAATATTGTACTTTGAACCCTTTTTTCCAGCAATTAAGTGTGGCTTAAGCAAGATAATTAACCCGGATTAAGGAATATAATATGTCATTCTTCCTTGCTTTCCAGCTAATCATGACTTACGTACTATTTTAAAAGTCCAAAAGATTTCATTTCGATTTATCCGTCAAAATACATCGTCTAGACGGAGATTAATCACATTATATTAGCTAACATCTCAGGGACAGCTAATACATTCTAATTTAACATTCACTAATATACCTGTTAAATATGTGAATGAAACATCTACAACGTTTATTTCTATACGTACTTTGACTTTTTGTTAATTTCAAGTTTAATATATGAAAGGCTATAATATTTTCTACATCCACAAGTTTAATTTATTTCCTAAAATATGATCAGATAAAATTGGTTTTTACGAAATGCATAAAAATAAACTTACCCAGATTGTCGCTTTTTCTACTTAAAAGGTTGAAAAAAGATTGAAGATTTCACGCTAGCTAAAACACTAATCAAATGTTACTGTACGTATGAATTACTGTGACACATATATCAGTAAAAAATTATTTGTTTGATTAAAACTGCAATTAACACAAGCGATTCCTCAAACAAAATCAAAAGGTTATCAGTCAAAATAAGAAGGTGAAAAGCAAAAGGTTTAAATAATTTGATCCCAAGTCATTAAATATTTTGTTTAGCACTTGTAAATTATTAATTAAATAATTCAAGAATATTCCTCCTCAATGGTAGGGATATTCAAAGCAAAGTAAGACTCAACTGGAAATATTATTTAATAGCTGCCCCATTTAGTCATTTTGACGTTTCAATTAGTTTGAGGAAAAGTGAGTCCTAAAGTCCCCAATATGGAAAGAAAGAAAGAAGCAACACACCTTTTTTAAATATTAAAATACAGATATATATTATATAACACTTCATTACTGCACCAAAACTAGAATAATTATCAAAGCTAATAATAGTAATTAATTAACTAAGAAAAGAAACAACTAATACTACTACTTAATTATTTTCTTTTCCTAAGGGAATATTTTTTTTCTTTTTGTTTTTCACCATAATTGAATTACAAAATATAGCTTCATAAAAACACGAAATTAATTATCTTAATTTTACAATACCCCATCAGTGATGACACCAACTTCCACAAGCCTCGGAACAAGACGGCCACTCAAGTGAAGAGCCACGAGGCTCTCTAACCCGCCGACACGTGTCCCTCCGATGAATACCGCCGGAGCTTCACCGGAACCATCGGAGATAACCTCATCGCCGGTGACGGCTGTGGTGGACGGAAGCGCGGCGATCTCATCCTCCTCTAGCTCAATCACAGTGGGATGAACGCCTATAGCAGATAGCAATTTCTTCATGACGTGGCACATGCAGCAAGACGAACGGGTGAAGATGACGACGGGGTTTTCGGAGATGAGGCGTTGAATTCTCATCTCCGTCGACTCCGCCACGTCGATGGCGAGCGGTGAATTGGTGGTGGGAGTGAGTTCTAGCCGTACTCCGCCGTCGGAAAACGGCCCGTAGAAGCTGTTTCCTCTCATGATAAAAAAGGAGGTGTAAATTGTAAGATGCAACAAACAAAGAGAGAGGAAAAAAAGGGAAGGAATTTGGGAGAAAGAGGGAAGGGAGAAGAGAGATTATATAAATGGAAGGGTGGCAATAATGTTACATCACAAAGTAACATACTACGTAAGTTATGCTGTGTCTATGGGGATTGCCACCTCCCACCCCTACCCCCACCACCCTTTCAATCAAGTGGGGGTAGGTGGGGACAAGGGGGAGTATGTGAGAATCTAATATGACGCGCGAAAGTGGGAAGGGTGAATGAGGAGATAATTACGAGAGCTAGACGACAAAAGAAAAACATCTCAATGATCTATTTCTTGGCTTTTACATTAGTTTTTCCTTTTCTATTTTTGGGTCAAATTGTTCAGGACATTCTATATTTGAACAGGTGATTATGTACTCAACACCGAATTAAAAGCTAATTTGGAATTCATTAGGAAGTCATTCTCGGAATGCCCCAAATGCTTGCCTACTTTCTAATGAGTTGTCTTTTCTTTTCTTGTTTTCTTTTTCTCTAAGCTGAGGGTCTATCGGAAATAGCCTCTCTGTCCTATCGGATAGGGGTAAGGTCTGCGTACACATTATCCTCCTCAGACCCCACCTGGTGGGATTTTACTGGGTAGTTGTTGTTGTTGTTGTAGGAAGTCAGTCAGGAGCAGGGCAAGGAATTTGATCTTTTGATTTCAAAAAATACAATCTCATTCAAACCAAAAATAAAGTTATCAAAGACTTGAGTAAATTGAGGAAAAGATAAGTTCTTTCCAATATCTTATTTTTGTTTCATATTCACTATTTTCGCTGCGTAAGGTCCAATTAAAGGAGAAAACATTCCATACTTTAAAGAATTTGTTCTAAAAATTTGAATCCGTTACCTTTAAATAAGGGTAAAGAAATACTATTCATTTAACCAAACCTCTTTATGTTTATATTTTTTCAATATAATTACATAAGCAACTCGGCAAAAATAATAATAAACGGGATAGTCATATATTGTTATTGGGTCATATATTTTTATGTATAATAATGATATTGTCCTCAAGAACAAGTGTATCAGGTCACATTCGTCTTACTATCAATACAAAGTTTACATTAGATTCGAAATTATACTTTCTCTGAATCAAAATGGAGGAACGTTCATAGAAAACAAAGCATCCATTGGAATCGTGAGGTCGAAACTATGCGCTTCACCCAAACCATCAGTTTTTACTCCACTTAATCTAAAAGCAAGTCATTCTTTTCCCTTTAAAAAAAAGTGATATTGTGCAATAACTCAAAATCCAATTGAAATTTTTTGGCATGTAGTGCCTTAGTGTTTGTTTCTTTCTAACGGAGGCCAATATATTTTCACCCCCAATTATTGAACGGCTACAGAAAATTATTTGTTTAATACTCCCTTCATTTCAGTTTAGACGATATAGTTTGACTTGACATAAAATTTAAGAAAAAAAGAAGACTTTTAAAACATATGGTGCTAAAAGCTTAAGGGATAAAATCTTAGTGGGACATAATATTTGTATGTCTATAAAAACTTCTCATTAAGGGTAAAGTGACTAAAATAAAAATTTTAAAATTCATTTTTTGTTATTCTTTTTTAATGGACTAATAAGGAAAATGTGTTATCTAAATTGAAACAGAAATAATATTAGTTACAAAGTTGACCACTTGACCCCATGCATTGCATTTTAAACGTGGATAATTAAAAATTCCAAATATACGCTTTTATATGATATAATAAATAGTACTAAAAATTTTATGTAACTTTTGAATATTAATGAAATTAATTAAATTTACAGTATAAAAAATTGTCAAACAAAATCTGATTAAAAATATTCAATTCATTTTATATTATATGTCACGCTTTTTATATATTTTAAAAGATTAATACTTTTTTATATTGGAAATTCATTTAATTTCCATAATCTCATGTTCTTTTCTATTTGATATAGTATGTTGAAGCCAACGAGATACTATTGGTTCTTTGTTCATATGTGTATTTAACTTTTGCATTTTCTAAAATATATGGAGCATGTGAAAAGGAAAGAAGTTGAGCAGAGAAAACATATAACGCGCGTGGGAGAAGTTAGAAATTAGGGGGTAGCAGGGTAGGTCGGGAATAGTGGAAAATAGTCGGGGGTACTATTGACTTTTCGATTAAAATAGTAGGGAAAATGGGCACAATCACATGGAGTGATGAGTGTATGTGAATTAATTGCAAAATGACGTCATCTTGGCTTGGACGCCTTTTTTCACTCCCAATGGGTGGGCGCTCTTTGCTGACGTTATCAGTTGCTTGCTTTTGCTACGTAGATTTGTAAACTTTGCTGACGTGTTCTTCTGTGGGCAATATGTCCATTGCAAGAAAGATGTATGGTAATTTCCATATCAATTACCCCTCCCGTCTTTTTTTTTACCCCTGTGTGGGTGTTTGTCGATCAATACGGTATAGTATTTAAATATTTCGATTCAGCATTTTCAATATTCAATTTCTGAAAATGTTATATTAATATCGTACCTAATTAAATTCGGTATGGTTCGGATTTTCTCCTTTTGGTTTCGGTTTATTCGATTAGGTAACTTCGATTTATTCGGTTTGAAAACTAACTAGTGCGAAAAGTCATAGAATGTAATATTCTTAATTAAAGTACTCAAGGTGCAAAACTAAAAAATATTTTTTGAATAAAATTTTGTCCAAAACCAGCAAATATAAACCTAGAGGGAGAAAATTGAACATAAAAGAATAAACTTGATCATTAGAAATCTCTTGTTACTTGCTTAGAGTTAATTGATGAAATTAGAGAATAAAGAAAAGTAAAATAATATATTTTTTATATTTATATTATAATTAATAATATGTGTATTACGCAATATAATATATATTTCGGTACGCTATCGGTATTTTGGTATTTTATTTCAAAATATCAAATACTATAAAAAAATTAAACCAAATACCATACCGAATACCAAAATATCGAACACTAAATACCAAATACCAAAATTTTCAATTTCGGTACAATAATTCGGCATTTACCAAATTATGCACAACCCTACCCCTCTCATTTTACTCATCTCTTCTTTTTATTTTTATGCTGTATTTGTATTAAAATCTCAATTAAGTTATATTCATGTTGTATATGGTCCATTTAAAGAAAATAATTTTTTGGGGCTTTTGCATCTTACCCGGTTTTTGGATCAACCTATATCCACTTTGCAAAAAAAGTTTGCAAGCGTACCCACTTTACGATCAACTTCAGACTTATCGGATCTGAAGTTAAAAAAATTAGTCTAAAGTGAAATTGCACTTCAAATGCACTTAAGGCCAAATAGGTCTGAAGTGCAACCAATGGTTTCATGCACTTAAGGCTAATAATTCTGAAGTGAAAAATTGCACTTCAGATGCACTTAAGGCCAATAAGTGTGAAGTGAAAAATTGCACTTTAGATGCACTTAAGGACAAAAAGTCTGAAGCGCAAGAAACGTTTTCATTCACTTAAGGTCAATAAGTCTGAAGTGAAAATTTGCTCTTGAGATGCACTTAAGGCCAAATAGGTATGAAGTGTAACCAATGGTTTCATGCACTTAAGGCCAATATGTCTGACGTGAAAAATTGCACTTCAGATGCACTTAAGGCCAAAAGGTCTGAAGTGCAACAAACATTTTAATACACTTATGGCCAATAAGTCTGAAGTGAAAAATTGCACTTCAGATGCACTTAAGGCCAAAATGTCTGAAGTGCAACAAACGTTTTGCTACACTTAAGGCCAATAAGTCTGAAGTGAAAAATTGCACTTTAAATGCACTTAAGGCCAAAAGGTCTGAAGTGCAAACAACGTTTTTATGCACTTAAGGCCAAATAGGCCTGAAGTGCAAATTGCCTAGAAACAGAAATTTGTTCTTCGAATTATAACATTTAAATATACGATTTAATACCTAAATCTACTCCACATGAGCTCAAATTTGAAACATAACTTCCAAATATAATCAGGAACAAATCCCAATCATCAATTTGTCAAAACATCAATAAATGTAATGAACCCATTTTGCAATTAAGAAAAAGAAGAAGAAACCTTAAGCAATAGTAAAAAAACATAAAGCGTCATAACAACTCACCATTGTGAAACATCATAAACTATATTAAAATATGTTCACAACCACCATATAAAATCATTGTCACCCAAAGAAGAAGAAGAAGAAGGAGGAGAAGGAGGAGGAGGAGGAGGAGGAGGAGGAGAAGGAGAAGAAAACGAAGGAGGCGAAGGAGGAGGAGAAAGAAGTCTGAAGTTGTTTAAAAAGTTGGTACAAGTTAAAACTTTCTTAAATAGTGGGTATAGGTTAAATGGGGCCAATCAAATAGGGCTTGCATTTTTTACACTTTTTTCCAGATACAAACACAAAATCTGTAAATAATAAATAAGTAATGTCATTTATCCAACCATAAACCTAAATGATACTCATCCGATCAAAATTTACATACAGCCACTTAGGGATCATCATAAATAAGTTATGTCAAGAATATAATACTTGTACAAAATCCGACAAGACTAATGTAGTATCACTAGTACCATGTTAAGCTTTTGACACTTCCAATAAAATTCAGTATTACATAATACACCATTTTATTATCATTTCTATTTGTTTACCCTAAAATCTGAGTAACAATTAAATTTATATTGTGATTTTAAAAATACGTAATACCAATTGATAAACGAGGAATTAAATATATAAATTGAAGAATAAAACAAGTCAAATCAGTGTGCAAGCCAAGTCCGGACCTCGAGTTATGGCAGCCTCGAGGTGGCATAGTAAGAACAATCAATTATAAGGCAACTCTGATGAATAATAAGTAAGAAAGTGATGAATGTATATTCTCTTGTCAATGTGTCGTGTGTTACAAATGAATGAGCTCCCCTTTATATAATAGGGGAATTCTAAATAAGGTACACTTCTAATTATAGTGGGAAATCTTATTGGACAACTGTCTAACCGCCAAGGACAAATCCGTTCCGGAATTTACGTCGTGGTGTCAGGGCCATTGCGGGAATCTCGCTCTTTCTGTTATTAAACCATAATGGTATTATATCAATGTTGGTCATGTTCGGCCTCGGTG